ATTCTAAATGATCGGAACGATTTTGCATGTCAGGCTGACTATTGAGTTACGTTTCGCATGAATGCTGTTATTGCATTGTTCGGAGAAAGTTTTTGCTTACATAGCTAATGACTTGAAGTATATTACATATAGGGCAATAAAATATCTATCCGAAAATTTTGGTACGTTATTATTTCGATGTAGCTTCATATGTGCATTCGGCAGTCTAGGTGATGATCAACGAAACTCAAGCTGGAAATTACCGACTGAATTTTCATGTCGACAATAGTTTTGGCACCTCTTCTGATCAGCCTGTCAAATTTTCACGTGTGACGCTCTTGACTGTAACTTGTGTACAAGTGACTAATATTTGGAAGATAGGTGCGACCAAATGGTAATTATACCTCGTTTTGTCATTTGATCTATGGGATGAGTCTTTGCACTGGGCACTGACCACTTCATTGAAGTGGAACATGAGCGAATATGCGTCTAGTAGGCTAGAAACCCTACGCTACTGATTTCTAACATTTTGTGGTTATGGCTCTCGCATCCAAGTCGGCCTCAGGCTTATGTTTCTATAGGTATTATAAGTTCGGTGATACAAATTTCTAAGCAGTTTGGGCTTAGGTATGCTCCCCTCTTATGCATTAACTGTTTGTATAACGCAAGGATGAGATTAAATAAAATTTGACAAGCATATGTCAGAGTATTTCTTTGAAGATATTTTTTTTTCTGATGCCTATAATACATATTTTATGTTGCCGTTGGACACGAAAACAGTTGCTCACGTCATAGTAGGACAGTATTGTCAATATCCCTTGTGTATCACTGGTACTCTATATGACAGAGGTAAGACATATTTTGCGAGCATTGCAAGGAGTGAATGTAGTTTTCGATGATGATCTCTTATTTTATCTCACGACGGTCGACTGCGCCATAAGATGCTTGGCGATGATGAAGCAGCCGGTGACTCGGCTTGAGACTGAAATAAACTGCGTTTACTGCTTGCGGTGTCTTTTTACTAGCAGATAGACATATTCTAACTCGATTTGTAGGTTTGCGTATTTACTATTATTTTTATATTTTTATCTGAATTACAGTATATAATATAAATAGTCACTTCGACTCTACTATTGTGCATTTCAATTATTTCTTCCCTTGCCAATCTTTTTCTGTGTAGCACGGAATTCTTCCTCGCTGGGCATGCCGCCTAACGTTTTCTTGCTCTTCTTTGTGCTGCCTGAAGACGAGTATTTCTTTTCTAGATCATCCAGGAAATTATTCATTCTTGCGGCACTTCGTTTCCGAATCAATTCACCCAGTACATCCTCACCGCCATTCATAACCTTCTTTCCGATACCTAACTCAGTTGCCAACTCTTCAGCTTCTTGCTCTTCCTCCTTAGCTGCTTTTCTGCGCGCAGACTTTGTAGCTGCAGATTCGCCAGTGTACTTCTTGTACGACTTCACTTCCCGCGACCTGATAGCGTCGTCAATGATAGAACGGAATCTTGACTCGTCCTCAAGCACATTAGAGTGCACGACGTTCTCAAAGACAACATCTAAATCTCCTTTTGACTCTGTGTAAGACCGTAGAATCTCCTCTCGCTCTTCGCCAGACTCTATATCCCAGTTAGCTCGAGCGGGTAAAAACGTAAGTACATCAACAACGCACCTCTATATTGCTTCTTGTCCTCCTCAATCATCTCCTTCGTTACAGCTTTGTTATACATTTCATCAAAATACTCCTTCCACCCAAACCCCTCTACACTCGTATACTCCAAGCTCCCAGTAGCATCATATGCCTTCCGTCTATCGGCATCACTCAACACTCCATAGGCAAACACAATTTCCTGAAACATATTATGCGCATCAGCACGTTTGTCGGGATCAACTTTGTCGGGATGATGCAGTAATGCTAACCGACGATACGCCTTCTTGACATCTGCGTCCGTCGCGGTACGCCCCACGTGTAGAACTTGGTATGGATCGATAGCAGTCGGCGGTTGATTACCTTCCTCATCCTCATCGTCGTCGACGTCGGCCTGCTCGTTGATTTCAGGCTTGGGAACATCATCATATTCTTCTTTAAGGTTTTTACCTTTCTTTTGACGTGGCATTATACGTAGATCGAGGATGGGGGGCTGGAATAGAAGAAGTAGTCTGTGATAGTAGTGTTTGAACGCGTCGAAACGCGCCGCGTCAAATTGTTTGGGTTAGGGTATTATATGTGGACCGAGGCTTATGTAGTCCCGTAGCCTAAACATTCCTCCAATGGTACTTGGATAAACGAGTGAATACGAAATAGTTCCTCCAGTTGCGTAAACCGTTCCTGTCGAAATGAACAGAGGGCATACCTACATATTTTATTGCACATTTCACGATCAGGAAGCGATATATAAGGGCTCAATACTAGAAGTCAACATTGTATTCAGGAAAACTTGAAAAGAAAAGAAAAGAGCCGACAGCGACAGCCGTCGATAGCCGATTGCTGAAATACAAATATCGAGAATCAATGCAGGTCTCGAAGCATTAGTAGTAGCCTAGAATATCAGATTCTAAATACTGAAGTAGCAATCAGGGTCATTAGATGGAAGTACTAAAGATAGACACTGATGAACGTCAGAACGAGAGATAACTGAGGCAGCAAAAGTAACAATGACTAGTGGCAGTACCAATATATTATTCTAAGTAAGGAAGTGAAGCGTCAAGAAGGGGCAAGGGGACGGGATGATTCCAGTTTCAACAATGTTGCTTTGCCCAGGCTTCCGACGGAGCAGCCGCGGTGCGGAAATGCAAAAATGCGGCAGGACGAAACATCGTTGCGATTCTGCGAAAGTTGCCCAGATTCCGGTAATGTGCCTTCCCAACTCTGGCTTCCGTTCACCTGTCGGAGCTGCAAGATGTGCATCTGTTTATATGTTTAGCTGCGTCCGTAGCGGGTTCTAATGTACAATTGTGAAATATTGCACCAATAATCATCAGTTGTGGCGGTTAACCCCCACGCGAGGTTAATTGGGGTTCAAGTTTGAGTTCGAGTTTCAACGATCAATTTACCGACACACTCTCCGGCACCGCTCCGGATCGATGGCCATGCGTTACCGCCCTGTTTCGGAGCATTTTACACCAAGTATACACCCGCTTGGTTGCTTTTTTACCGCCGTGTAACCGATACCATAATTTCGGTTATACTGATTGCCTGACCGTGAATATATGGGGTAGCAATAGTTGATTGTAATGCTTGCAGCCGTAAACGACATTTATATTGTGTACTTCCGCCGTATCCGATTCGCATGTTGGATTTATCCCCCCATTCCGCGGTGGTCGTGCCCTTCACCCGCTTTACGGCTCGTCTCGGACACGGTCGATACCGGAACCCCAGCTTTTGCTTCCTTTATTACGATGAATGCTCAGCCCATATAATATACTTCGCGCTCCGCATAATTATTGTTGCCCACTTACACTTACAACTCTCACGCCCCTTCCTACCACATTCTCTCTCCACAATGAACGGTAACGGCACTGGGTTCACGACAACCGGAGCAGGCGGCGGCGACAGTCTAAATGAAATCAAGACAGACATCATCACCCTCACCCGCTTCATCCTAACCGAACAGGGCCGATATGCTACTCAGGCTACCGGTGACTTCACTCTCCTCCTCAACAGCCTTCAATTCGCGTTCAAGTTCATATCACACAACATTCGACGAGCAACGCTGGTGAACCTCATCGGTCTTGCTGGCGCGACGAACTCAACCGGTGATGACCAAAAGAAGCTTGATGTCATCGGCGACGAAATCTTCATCAACGCTATGCGTGCAAGCGGAAAGGTCAAAGTCCTTGTTTCTGAAGAGCAGGACGAGATCATAGTGTTTGAAGGTGATGGAAAATACTGTGTTGTCTGCGATCCCATTGATGGCTCGTCCAACTTGGATGCCGGTGTCTCGGTCGGGACTATCTTTGGTGTATATAAGCTAGTGAGTATTTTAGATTGTAGAGTAAATATTCCGTGATGTCGTACTGACTGCGATGTAGCAACCAGGATCAACAGGAAGCGTGAGCGATGTCTTGAGACCCGGTACCGAGATGATTGCTGCTGGCTACACCATGTACGGTGCTTCCGCCAACTTGGTCCTCACGACTGGTAACGGCGTCAATGGCTTCACACTCGACACTGCGCTCGGCGAGTTTATCCTCACACATCCGGACATGAAAATTCCCAAGAAGCGATCAATTTACTCCGCCAACGAAGGTAACACAGTCTACTGGGACAAGCCTACCCAGGAGTACTTCCACAACCTCAAGTACCCGTCCGAAGGCCAGAAACCATACTCTTCACGATATATTGGTTCTATGGTTGCCGACATGCACCGAACGCTACTTTATGGAGGTATTTTCGCCTACCCCGCCGACTCGAAAAGTAAGAATGGCAAGCTCCGTCTACTTTACGAGTGCTTCCCTATGGCCTTCTTGGTCGAGCAGGCTGGGGGTCTGGCTACCACTGGCACACAACGCATTCTCGACATAGTGCCAAAGCACATTCACGACCGAAGCGGAATTTTTCTTGGCAGTGAGAACGAAGTTCTGAAAGTCATCGACACATATAAAAAGTATGAAACTAGCGCATAAACTTCTGTTTGTTCTAAATTGTTTGATGCGGTTGAGTTAAACAAGGAGTCATACTTGTACCATCACACAAAGAGGGGGGCTGTTATTGCATGCTTAATTTTCTGTTTATATATTTGTTGTTGATTTTGGAATGCGCTATTGAGTCATGGGTCCCATCATTGACAAGGCTGTAGTAATGTCATTTGTTTCAATAGCAAATAGTAGTGGAATTCAATGTCGTGTTTGATTACTCGTCGTAACCGCTTCTTCTTAGCGTCTTCTAAATGCATAACTACACAGACCTGATTTCATCACAGCCTAATTGGTAAAAACCAGAGTTTCTCAAGCGACAAAAACTATTCTTTCATATGTGGTTCACCACAGCACTAAATAAAACAACCAGCAAAAAAAAAATGCCTCGGGAGGGAGTCGAACCCACGACCTTGAGATAACACACAATATGAGACTCACGCTTTAACCAACTAAGCCACCAAGGCATTGACGAAAATTTAATAAAGTTTCATCCTGGTCGTGCTGACCGGCGGCACCTGCTAGCGAAGCGGTGAGCCTATATAGTAATTCACTGGGTTTTGTTTTTGGTTTTGTTTGGTCCCTTCTTTTCTTTTGTTTGTTCGTTTAGTTTCTCCTTAGTCCCATTGGGTTTATATGCCCCTCTTCTTCCTATGCTCTGTGTTCGTTAAACATTACCTTCCCATGTAGCAAATTATATATGTCACAATACCCTTGGATAGCACGTTCCATAGTAGTTTACGTACATAATCCCTCATTATAACGTTTAGGGCATATATGCAAGCACATGGGGACATCAGAAATACACCGACTATGCTGCCATTATGTATGCATATACGGATATAAATGTTAGTATGTAGATCGTATTTATGGATCACGTGATTGGCGAGTGCCACTGTCTTTAGCTATATCCTTTCAGATCGTTATTGTATCTGTATGTCTACGACCACGCCACTGCAGAGGTTTCTTTATTCTGCACATGTTTTGTACTGGAAGGATTTTATATTGACATTGTTTCTGGAGCGTTGATTTAATTCTTTGTGTCGACTAGCTGTATCATCTAACGGTCGCGAAGTTATCAGCTGATCTGGTCGTTGGTTCGTTCGATCGCCTTCGATCAGGGAAGTTTAGCAACATGAGCGCGAGTAATGTTTATTACGAGTTATACAGACGAAGCAGGTATGTTACTGAAGTTCGGAGGATAGGCTATATGGCTCTTTTTTCTCGGTGCGGGGGAGTGCTGACCGGTTGTAGTATAGGCGTGGCACTCATTGATTCTCTAGATGAATTGATCAAGTACGAATAGCGTGCCTATGAGTTTATAGAAGTGGTACTAATTGCAGCGGTGTTTGTAGAGACTCCAAAATTCAGCCACAGCTTGCTATGAAGATATTATCGACAGTATGTGACCCGGTGGCAGCTTGCCTGATCTTATGCGCCGCGTTTTCGCTCATATCGTTCTTGTTGAGATGACTGGCAGTACTAACAATGTGCATTAGTTCGACCGTAGTATAAGTGAAGCATTAGCGGAAAAAGTCAAATCAACGAGACTGTCGTTCAAGGTTGGCTATTGTGCCACAGATATATTGGGCAGTGACTAACTGAGGTATAGGGCCACCTTGACACGTATAGATTCTGCGACGACGTATGGACATTTATTATTCTAGACGTGCACTTTAAGATGGAGGGCAATGAGGCGATTGTAGCAGATAAAATTAAGATTGTTGCGAATAATGTCAAGAAGCCAGGAGAGCAGTGAAGTTGAACTGTATGAAGGAAGTTAGGTTGGATAGAAGGCAAGTGTCGAGAGATACGACTTCTACAGAGTGGATAGCCTATTCTCAACATCAATTATTGTGGCATGATGTTATACAATTATTACTGGCATAATATGCCTCATGATTGCTCTGTTCATAGAAAGATTGGTATGAAATAGTTAGCCATGGATCGGCCACTGTTGGTGCATAGGAATTGCATGACTATCTAAGAGGTTTGGAATTGGTTTGCGTATTGTTCCGGTCTGTGTAATATAATAGCATTTGATTCAACCGTTCATAACATTTTGTGTCGATAAAACGGCTCGTATCCGACTGCGCAAGACTGTGGTAAATTTACGTGAGACCAGTAAACAATAGCTAGTTTGCGGGCCATTAGTCAAACGTTTGATAAGCACAACCGTTACTACGATCATAGAAAAGACCCGCTGATCGAAGTGGTGGCACATATCACCCTTAACGCAATACACACTACACAAACAAGACTCATTGGACTAGCTTTGCCTGTTATTCCGTGTTTATTGCATCCGAGATCGGGTGCTGTTGAAGATTGACGAGCGGGTACTCCCGAGCCTCCGGCGCTTAGCGCCCACGAAGACCACAAAAGCTTGTGCCGGGGCTAGTCCCAAATCTACCAAGGATCTTCTGCGGCGCCGGATCTATGCCAAAATTATTTTCGGTAGTGCAACAAAGAATACAAAAACATAAGTGGGCACTATAGCCGGCACTATTTTCACCAAACGACAGCGTCTGCTGCTCGCTATTTTTGTTCTTGTGCTTGCTATACGCGACTAGACCGCGGCCACGCGTCGAGCGCCATGCATCTGCGCAATCTCGGATCTCGCGCTTGGGACCTGGCTACAGGAACACAGCACGCAGGGAAGGTAGCCTGTTTCCTCTGGGTCGTTGATCTGATACTCTCGGGTCTCATCGTCATGAAGGTTCCCTGTAAGTTTTGAACTGATTGAGTCCGTTATGATTTGGATCTGTGGCTAATGCGCTAGTAGACACTGAAATTGACTGGAAAGCGTACATGTCACAGGTTGAACTATACCTAAATGGAGAGCGAGACTATGCGGTATGTTGTTGCGGACACGCTACATTGATTCAATTTCATCGGACTAATAAAGTCAGAAAATCCGTGGAGGGACTGGACCTCTTGTGTATGCTGCTCGTGTCGGTGGTCAGAGAGCCTCAGAACTGACACAGGAAATAGCTATCCGGCCGGACACTTGTATATCTTCAGTATACTTTACAAGTTTACCAGTAAAGGCGAGAATATTTTCCTTGCTCAGATACTTTTTGCAGGACTGTATTTGGCCACTTTGGCGCTCGTGTTCAAGCTCTACGTCAACGCGAAGGTCGGTCCCAATTTTGGTCGCGATCTTGACTTGCGAATTCTAACAGACCCATACCAGGCTCCATTGTATACATTTCCGCTAGTGATCCTGTCAAAGCGTCTTCATAGTATCTATATGCTTCGTCTTTTCAATGACACATTTGCCATTTTAATAGCCTATCTCTCAGTCTTCGCATGGCAAAATCACTACTGGTTACTTGGGTCATTAATCTACAGCTTCGCCCTCAGCATCAAAATGAACGTCCTCTTGTTCCTTCCTGCTGCAGGTGTCATTCTCTTGCAAGCACTGGGACCAAGGGTATTCCGGGCCGCGTTGTTTATGTTGCAAGTACAGGTATGCGCCATTATGATAATGTAAGGCCTTGATCAGCACTGACACATGTCAGATTCTCCTCGCGTATCCGTTCACCAGCAAGTTTTTCTTCTCGTATGTGACGCGGGCGTTTGATTTTAATAGAGTGTTTTTGTACAAGTGGACCGTCAATTGGAGATTTGTCGATGAGGCTGTGTTCCTCACTCCTGAGTTCGCGCAGACCCTACTCATTATTCAAGGGTTGCTGCTGCTATTCTTCATATTTACCAGGTGGATTAAGTAAGTTCCAATTGTTTGAGTTTGATATGCTGTGGCGGATTCTAAATGTGTCGTAGACCCTCCGATATGAATATCATCAACATTATCCAAACGATTGCATTCCCGTCTCCACGACCACCCGCAGTTCACAATGCAATACTGGCAAAGATGACTCCGGAGTATATTCTGAAGACTCTCCTCACATGCAACCTTATTGGCGTACTATGTGCACGGTCATTGCATTATCAGTTTTACTCGTGGTTTGCGTGGAGTCTGCCGTATCTGCTGTCCATCACCGCATGGAACCCGCTCGTGCAAGTTGTAGTTTGGGCAGCAGAGGAGTGGGCTTGGAACACCTACCCGAGCACCAAGCTCAGCTCGTTTGTTGTAGTCGCGACTAACGCTATTCTAATTGCTGGCATCTGGTTCGGTACAAAGAAAGATGCTGAGGACGCAAAGTCTGGAAGCCACATATTGCCTGAAATGTCTTCGATATCAGTCACAGAATCGCCTCCGCTAGTTCGGGCCACGCCTTTGTCTTCTCCTGCCGCGACCGCGAGACCAGCTACAAGAAGCCAGCGCCGCCGTAAAAATGTGTCTAGGGGGTAATTGGATCATAGTTTGTGTTAGCATTCTTGTCATGTATATATTGCGTCAATGCATCAGAAAAGTCTGTTTCATCATAATCTTCCCTGGGGCTCAGCCAGTACGTGACTGAAATCAGATGGCTGGAAATACCCTAACCGTAGGCATGACAAAAGCAACCTGTAACCGGTTTGCTCCTTTTTCTTTTCTTTTCGTTGCGACACGCTCCTTATCACCGACGAGATCTAACAATTCACTTTCGTTGGACATTATATTGCGTTGTCCTGAATAAATCATTGTGATATTGCCCTTTTCGCTAACAGCGTCTGAAAGTTATTCACAGACGACAGTTTGATAGTAGGGGGGCACACACCAATTTTTCCGGGCATTGCTTTGTTTATGCGCGTGGGGCAGTCTTCTAATTTGCCATGATCGATACTTGCTGCTGACGGTAATGCATTATATATTGTAATAATGATAATAATAATCTTATTAGGTAGATTGTGATGGCTGGTGGACCTTTAGCGGCCAAATGATTGGCTGATTTGAAAAATGAACTGAGCGACGTTGCAGATGTCATTACTGTAGTAACTTCTTAGCCTGAATTCAGTAGTATCAACAAATAGTGCATTGTATTAACTAAATCTGTTATCAATCTCGTGTAATATATAGTGCACACAATATTACAAAAATAGAACCGACAGGCACAGTTGTACTGGCTGTCACGAACATGAGACCCGTGCGGCTCCTGCGGCGCCTTGGAGGAAGCCAACCATATCTCGAATTTCCATTGCTAATTGCAAGCAGCAGCTCTGTTAGAACAGCTGCACGTCCGAATGTTTCCCTGTTAGAACACCTGCGCTTACGATATATGCTTCGCCGTACCTTCCACTCCGTTTGGTATTCAAGTTTTAGTATTTCAAGCGTCACGTTCGCTTCCAGGAACGGAATCGGTCTCTAGGGCAAATCCCATCCCGAGTGGATGACAGAGCCGGTTGGCAATGTCCAGTTCTCCCTATTCGGATGACGGTATACCTCTAGAAGAGGTTGATATCGGGGACGAAGACACACCCACAACACTGCGTCCCGCAGCTCTCGATTTTTCGTTATCCTCCGATGCAAGAGAAATTGGAAGCCGGCAAGGAAGTCTCACGATCGGTCAACGGACGATCAGTC